CATGGGGGGGGGGGGTGTAGAGTCCAGGGGGCTCACAGGGACCCATGCAGAGGGGGTGCAGGGCCAGCAGCATGGCCAGGAGAGCAGGCTGCCCTGCCCCGGCCCCAGCTCCAGCCCCTTGCCCGCTCCAAGGCTGACACAGAACCACCGGTGCTTTTTTGGAAACAATCTCTCAGAAATGCCACTTCAGCACCTGACACAATGAGAGCTATAGGATCCATTTAATGAGACAGAAAGCAACTTACAGCCCTCACACCAGCAACAAAATACTTTTCACCCCTTCCTCCACTCCCGCAAGCCCCTTTCCTTCATTAATTTAGAATAATGACACTGCGAGGTCCCAACAGGTTTTGCTGGGGTGACTTTGCAGGGAAAAGCTGCAGCAAATGATTTTTTTTTTTTTTTTTAATGCCAGCTGCTGTCCAGGAGGCAAAGGGAGCTCAGGAAACACCGGGAGCAGAGCTGAGCACCCCGAGGCAGGGGAAGGATGCTGCAGCGAGGGCTGCAGACCCCTGGGCAGGCAGGACCCCCATTGCCTCCAGTCCCATAGGTGGGATGGGGACCCTCAGCCCCCACCAGAGGGGAAAGCTCTGCCGTGCACAGGACGAATTGCACGGCTGCAGCAGGTGTGGGACCTCAGAGCACGCCGCCGGCCGCCCCGCAGTGCTTGGCGGGGATGATCCTCCTCTTGCAGGCGAACATCTTGCGGAGCTCCCCGCGGAAGCGGTCGTGCAGCCAGGCGTAGAGGAAGGGGTTGCAGCAGGAGGAGCTCATGGCGAACCAGTGGCAGAGCAGCTGGATGAGGAGGAAGTAGTGCTTGTCGATGAGGTTGATGTCGATGTCGCGGAGGATGTTGAAGACATGGATGGGGAGCCAGCAGACCCCGAAGGCTGCCACCACCAGCACGATGAGGCGGAAGATCTTCCTCTTCCTCAGGCGGTCGAACTCAGCTTGGCTCTGCGTGGGGTGGCCGGGCACCACGCGGTTCCGCAGCTTCACCGAGATGCAGATGTAGGAGAGGGACACGGCAGAGAGCGGCAGGATGTAGGTGACGATCAGCGTGCCGTAGGCGTAGGCCAGGCGCTGCGTCTCCTTCTCCATCCAGAACTCCTCGCAGATGGCGAAACCCTCCTCCTGGAACTCCACGTGGTAGGTGTGGGCGATGGCGGGGGCCACCAGCCCGCAGGACAGCAGCCAGATGCCCCCCACCACCAAGATGCAGCTGGTGACCGAGATGCGCTTCTTCAGGGGGTGCACGGTGGCGTAGTACCTGTGGGGAGAGAAATGGGAGAGCCTGAACCCCGGAGCATCCCCTGGCAGCCCAGGAAACCCCCACACACCCCCACAGCTCTTCCTGGATGCTTAACGGAGGCAGGAGGGGCGGCACGGCCGTGTCCCCTTGCCCTGCTGTGGAAGCACCAGGTCACTTCTGCGGATTTGGGAAGCAGGGTGCCTGGTGGGGCTGGGCATGGAGCATCCCCCCCACAGCCCACCTCTGAACCTGCCGTGAGGACCGTGGGCAGCACTGGGTGAGTGTGAAATTCTGGCAATTCCCCCTCCCCTGAGCATCTTCCACCCCTCTCTGTGCTGCTCTGCCCGGGGAGGCACCAGTGCTCCCCACCCGGGGCCAGAACACAGACTGGTTTGGGGGCAGAATTACCCAGCACAGCGTGAAGAACAGGGTGCAAACCCCAACACGCCTTTGTGCAAGAGCCGCGCCAGCCGGGAGCGCAGACCTGCCCACAGGTGGATTTCGATAGACAGCTTCACACGGGCGAGCGTGGAACTGCACAGCATCGCTTCCCGGCGCAACGCGGCGGCCGGCTGAGCACCCCCACCACGCTCCCCCTGCCCGCAGCCACGTCCTGCTGCTAAAGAAAAAGCTGCAGAGAGACTGCCAAGATCCCTGGGATTTTCCTTTTTCCAATTTTGAGTGTTCGGCATAACCCGAGCGAGCAGCAGCTGGAGGGGACCAGCCCCGGACCCCCGACCAGCGCTCACCTGTCAACCGCGATGGCCGTGAGCGTGAACACCGAGACATAGACGGTCATGGGCTGCATCAGGAAGACGAAGTAGCACAAAAACTTCCCAAAAACCCAGCCCCGGGGGTTGAAGGCGTAGGCCAGGGTGAAGGGCACGCACGTGGCGCACATCAGCATGTCGGAGAAGGCCAGGTTCCCGATGAAGAAGTTGGTGACATTGTGCATCTTCTTGGTCTTGCAGATGACGTAGAGGAGCAGGTAGTTGCCGAAGATGCCGACGAGGACGACCAGGGCGTAGCAGGGGATGATGAGAGGTTTGAAGGACTGGATGAGCTGCACCCCGGTGAACTGGGCGCTGGCATTGGAGCGGTTCTGCAGGGTGAGCTTGTAGGCGGTGGCATTGTCCCCGTCCCCCTCCATGGCTGGGCTGAGCCCCCTGCCCACTGGCAGGTGGGAGAGCCCCCGTGTCAACCAGCCTCAGCACCCCAAAATCCAGCGGTTGTGGGTTTCAGGTGTCCTTGGGGTGCATCCTGCTCCTCGTCACAGCTTTGCTGCAGCTGTCCCCCTCCAGAGCAGTGCAGGACCCTTCGTCCTGGGGGCTTCTGGGGAGGGGAATGGAAAATTGGGCTCAGAAAAGGGGTGATGCTGGGAGCATCCCTGTGTCAGGAGGGAGCGAGCCCCGGGCTCAGCAGCAGTTACAGCTCAGGGACGGGGGGGGCGACGAGAAGGAGAAAAGCAGCGGGGCTGACTTACCCAAATCCAACTTCATCAACACCCCTCTGAACGAAGCGTTCGCAGTGATCCTGCCTCTGCCCCAGCCCAGCCGGCGCAGAGGGGCAGCTGCCGGCAGGAGGAAAAGGGAAGCGGCAGCTGAGCCAGCAAACAGCTCCTAATGTTTCTGGAAATCACAAAGGACTTTAATAGATAAAAGAATAAAGCCGGATGAGTTAATTGCTGATTAATTTTGCTTTTCCCCTCTTCTCCCCCCCCTTACCCCCGGAGCTTGGCACCAGACACAGCGGCAGCTCCCCACTCCCCATCCCAGGGCACATCCCAAACCCTGCGTGAGGAAGTGGCTCAGGGCACGT